GATCTATTTACTTAGGTTTATTTTTGTTGTTGTGTATGGAATTACTGACGTGCAACTTTAAATGCGACGTTAGGTATCACCGGATAAACTCCGGGACTCCTTTGTAAATAGCAGCAGAACCTAGGCAGAGATTCCCATAGATTCCAGTGCTGAGAACCTTCAGCAAGCCCCGGTTGCTGACCGCGAGCTTCCTGCCGTTCCTCAAGATGTCCATTGTTGGAGCTTTTTAATTTAGCAATAACTTGGGCAAGCTGAACCTATGAGCTGTTCTATTTTCTTCCTGTCAGGATGAAGGATTTGTTTTATGATGCATTGTGTGTTAAATAGAAGCAGCAGCGAGTTGGGAAACTGATTACTACTTGGTGGAGTTGATCTGCTTTTCTGATATAGAGCTGGCTATTTATTAAAAAAAAACAGTCCTCTGAAAAGCAGGAAATGTCGCTGTGTAAACAAAAGCGTCGAGAATCAGTACCATGTCCTGGGCAAATGAGCTTCATATTGATAGGGCTGGGACTTGGAGCTGAAATGGGTTTTGGGTGGGAGTGGCAGTGCTGCAGACTGCCCAGTAGATGGCGATCGCAATTGGCAGTAAAATGGTCTGAGTTGGGTATTTGATTTCAGCCAATCTATCATGTGTTTTACACATAATCAATCCGCTGATCTCTGCATTACTGTAAACTTGTACAGTTTCAGCGGTGCTTGTGAAAATCTTATAATTTCTAGATGATTTTTTTTTAAAATATGATTTTCTTGAAGACAGCGTTTTCTGATGGTCTCAGCAACATGCGCTATGCCATTGGACAACGTTGGACCGAGAGCCATTCCAGCTCCTTGTATCCTGGGAACACTCCCAACGAGCACAGAGCACTGGGCGATGAGGCAGGCCGAGTTGCAGAGGGATTTCTGCACAATTGCACATTACCTCGTGTATCTACCCGAAAAGTCACAGAACCAGGAAATAACGTTATTAATAAAAACCAAAAGAACGTTATTAATAAACTTTTTTGTATAGTTATATTGATGAAAATAACTCCGTCTTGCAAGCAACTTTTAAAGGGGCAGTAGCTACATTGGTTTAAATCGACAGCAATCAATGTCAAACTGGCGTCTCCCTCCCGCACGATAATTTCATTCACTTCTACTGCATTCACACATCCCCAGGCTCCAACACTCACCCAGTCACACAGCCGCAGACACAGATTGGTACTCATGAGCAGTCACATAGCTGCAGGGGCACACTCTGAAACACTACCATGTGGACACATCTTTACGGAAAGATAAGGACACACACTCTGATACTTCCATTCAAATGCAGAATCACGCCAATGCACGCACACAAGAGCGTGTTCAAACCTGCACGATCACGCACAGAAAAAGAAGTAACACACATTGTTCCAGAATCAGCCGCATAGACATAGACATTACAATACATAGAACTGGTGAAAAAAAAACACTTTTCAATTCAACAAAATATTCTGATGGATACCACAGATCTGATTTGAGTTTTCTGGTCTCAAAGTCGGCAGAAGATCACCTCTCCTCTAATACAAAGTCAGAATTAGGAATGTTCACTGCTGATTGCACAAAGTTCAGCATCATTCACAATTCCTAAAATATTGAAGCAGCATATGTCCAAATGCAGCAAGACCTGGACGATAGGTTTGGATTGACAAGTGACAAGCAACATTGTGCCACACAAATGTCAGGTTATTGACCATCTCCAACAGATAATCTATGTCATAAGAGAGTGAACTGGACTCACCACAGCAGTTACAAATGGGCAACTCAACTCCTGACTCTCCAAAGCCTGCCCACCACCTATAAGGCACAAGTCAGGAGTGAGATGAAATACTCCAGATTTGTCTCCACGAGTGCATCTCCATCAACATTCAAGAACATTCAAGAAGTTTGACGCCAACCTGCTTGATTGGCACCATATCCACAAACACTCACTCCCTCCACCACCAATGCTCAATAGTGGCAGTGTGTACTATCTACAAGATGCATTGTAGAAATTCACAAAGGCTCCTAGGTCAGCACCTTCCAAACCCATGAGCACTACCTTCTACAAGACAAGTGAAACAGATATATTGGAATACCACCCCCAGCATGTTCCCCTCCAAGCCACTCACAATTCTGACTTGGAATTATATTGCCATTCCTTCAACGTCAGTGGGTCAAAATCCTGGAATTCCCTGTTCTAAAGAAGAGTCACTGGACCCAAAACATTAACTCTGCTTTCTTGCCACAGATGCTGCCAGAGCTGCTGAATTTTTCCAGCAATTGCTATTTTTGTTCTTCCGTCAGGGCATTGTGGGTTTACCTAAAGCATACTGCAATGGTTCAAGAAGATAGGGCAAGTAAGGTTGGACAAAAAATGCTAGCCAACAGTACCCACAAACTATATGTGAATAAGAATTGTAAAGGGCATTACAATTGTACTCAGCCTCTATTTCGGTAACAAGGGCAGAGCTTGTTATAGGGTGGAAGTTGATACCTTCCACACTGATGGCTTTGGCAAGCCCACAACCTTCTCACCCCCACCCTAATTAAATCGATGCTGAGAAGGCCTGAAGGAAGTTGTATGTAATTGAAGTTCATGCTTTATCAAGTACTATTATTTCATTTTGCTTGGCCTAAATTGCTGCAAGTGTTCTCTGCAATTGAGGATCTTCATTGGGCAATCAATGATCACTCATTCCACATCTCAGGCCTCTGATATTAACCCAATAGCAGGCATAAGGTTTGTTATGCAGGGAGCACAAGAAGCAAACTCATGGTTTCCTGTAAGCATTTGGTGAATTTTAACATTTAAAGGTATTCAGTACATGAATGATGTTGGCAAGGAGGAGGGATACTGCTGAGAGCTGTTTCCTGCTCCTGCAGTTGATACACTCCCTCTTCCAAATGCTTGCCACCCTGTGACCACCTTCCCAGCATCACTCATCTGCGATTTGGAGCCACCTGCGCCCCCACAATACTACCACCTTCGTGATCTCAGGTCTTGGTGGCTGTTATACCACACAGGCAACAGCCTTTCTAGTGGCGCTGTCATTCAATGGACCTGCCCTCATCTCATTGGCCAGAAACTCTCGGTGGGCAATACTTCCACCCCCGGAGATTCGGGTAATATTTAATTCAACAAGGTCAGGGTTAGGGCAACTATCCCAAAGGGACACCGTAGGGTTTGTTATAATGATAGAGTTTACCTGTAACAGCATTACATTCCCATAGAGGGTCATACGGTTCTGGCTGGGTCTCCAGCGGCAGAGGAATGAGCCCACGTTTTACAGTTGAGAAGCCACTTGAGTTGAGGAACAATGTAGGCCGCTGAGAAATATGTATAATATCCGTATCTGTAATACTGTAATACCTGTAAAATCTATAATTCTGCAATATTTGTAACCCTGACCTGATCTTCTGGGAAAGATCTTGTCTTCTGATCCGACTTCCGTCGTTTCCATATTGATTTCATCAACCTATTCATTGGATAGTTTGTGTGACATGAATTTATTATTTACGACATGTAATTTCGATCTCAAGAAGGCAGAGAGAATGGAACCTGGTCATTATTTCAGAACTTGTCCCCATTCGCTCCGCCAACCTGTGAATAGTTAGAGAGAGTAAGCAGAGCAAAGGGACGTTCCGCACAAAGGAAGAGATGGTGTAACTTGGCTCCATCAGTAAAAGCTTCCTCCAAACGCGGGCGGTTGACAAGATCCCGCCTGCTTTGTTTGATGTACTGTCTTGGAAATGTTTTCGAGAAAGATCTTACGATTGTCAAAACAACTCAATCCCTCACAAAACGAACTTGTACAGGAGATCGATAGTGACAGAATGGTGTGGAGACAGTGGGACCTGTTCAATATTCAAACCTCTTTTCAATCGCGAGTTGTATTTTAATGCTATTGACGGGTCACGGACATGACATCTATTAAAGTCCGTCTCAATTTAGAAACTAGATCTTGAGGGGTCAAGCGATTGTTATCATACTTATCCAACGCAGAACTCCATTCATTAAATAAAATAGATCAAAATGCATTGGTTAAATGTGAAATAAGGCATGGCAAAGATCAACCGTTTACCCATGTTTCTAAAAGATTAAACTGGCTGGAGATATATATATATCTTTCTGCCTATGTGTACGCAGGATACGCAGATGATTGCATTGAAATTTGTCTGTGGAATTATATCCACAATTTTGTGAATGTTCATTTAACTCTTTGTGTCGACGTGTCTATTCTGTAATTACCGCGCCTTTATTCTAATTATTTACACGTGCAACGAAGTTTAATTAATGGAATATGTTGAGCGGGACATACAGCAGCTCCGGAAATGTGTTGCCTCAGTATAAACTTTTTTTTGTGTGTGTATTAAATACCATTTCTAACGGACACTAATAGTTCTCCTGTATCTGAAGTCCACTAGCGGGAGAGGTACTTTTTTTTCCCCTGTAGTTAATTTAATTTGTCCGACAGTCTGCATTCGATTCTAAAGCCAGAGGTCCAGAGGAAGCAATCTCCAGGGCTGCTGGAGGGAATTCTAAGTTGCTTGCTGTACAATTAATTGCTTGAATTTTACATGCAGGCGAAAAATGGATTATATGCTGGTTAATTTGCGAGGCATAATTTTAAAAACAATTAGGGAGAACAAAATATGTATCTTAAGTGAGAAACAGAACAATTAAAAAAAACACAACTTCCCTTCAACAAACGGAAAGAAGTTACTATTTCATTGTATCAATGGAGACAACACAAAACTCCACAAATTGGTTGCATTTGTCAAACTATCTTGACTTTCCAAAAGGTCAGGCGTTTGTGAAAGCTTGCATGTACCACAAGGGGAAATATTTGACAGGGCACGGTGTTTCCCATCTTCTCAACCTCATTTAAACACTTGTTTTTAAAATCAAAAAAGTAAAAAAAAAATCAAATTACAATCACATTCAAGGAAATCGATTTTAAATTCAGAGTGCTCAGCATGTGTCTATAGATCCGCAGTTTATTTTTCATTAAATATTGTGAGCCATTGTTCTCCATTTGTTGTGGCTGGGTCTCCCTTGTTTGATTACAAATAACTTTCTTTCGCGTTTCTTTTCCTTGTTATTTAATGTTCTTGCTTGTTGAGACGGTGTAATTTGATTCTCATTAATCATTCTTACAATTACCAGAGCTCTCCACGGTTCTACTTCATCAATTTTCTCCATTCGTTTCGTTAAAACGGTACCTTTAGGTATATACCGAGCTCAGGAGCTGCCTTCAGTGGGGTACACCCGGAGAAACTGGAACAAGCCTTTCCATCGAAGCCTCGCTTTTTGCTTGGCACCGGTTAGTTACTTGTTCAAATGCATACACGCTATTTCATTTTGCTTTAGGTAACACCAAGGTCTGTTTTTTTTTTACTCCTGTTTTTAGTTCGATCACTCTGTTCTCTCCGTTAACCCACGAGGATCCTGGCGGCGTTCCGGATCAGACTGAAACGCTACAAGGACCCGAAGTTTCTCCTGAGCCGGAAAAGTGGAACGGAGTCGGAGGAAGCCGCCGGTAAAGGTTTAGATCACTGCTCTCTTTATTGTTCCAATCGGGCAATTTATTCTTAAAACTCGCTAATCTTTTCATGTGTACCTAATCCGTGAAGCGATAGTGTCCCGGGGAGTTACTCGGGCACGCAGCTGTGGTGGAGAGCGAAACCGGGAACAATTCTCTATTGGGCCCTTTTGATTGGAACCGAAAAAGGAACCCGGCTGCGGGGAAAAATTAACATGTCTGTTTTAAACACAGGGAGCCCTTACTCCAGCTTTTAGTAAATACATCCACACTGAGATTAGGTCTCCGTTCATCAGATACGGGCACAGAATCTACCAGCATATCGAGGGCTTTTACTCAGCTGAAGCATTAGGTATTTATCATGTTGCAAAAAGGAAAGGGACATTTAACGAAACAGAAATTTTTCAAGGAATGTTTTTTTTCAACGCGTAAAGTATTCTGCGGAGGAAGAAAGAGAGAGGGGGGGGCAAGTGTCAGCGTTTTTACTGAAGCCTGCTTTTGGGTGCCGCTAGACTAAACTGAACACCCAGAGCAGCCTGTGGGATTACTGAGCCCATAGAGTCCTGGGAAACTGTTAAACAGGAAACATTGCTGTCGCAGATCGCTGTTTAATAAAGTTGCTGATATGATGGTTGTAGTGTTGAGCTGGAGCTGCCTGAAATGCTTAACGCCGGGCAGGGAAGAGCCCTGTCTCTGTTTCATTGGAAACCTCAAACCCGCACTTTCTAATAATGAAAATGGCTTTAACGTCAATTAGATGCAGGTGGGACTTTAAGAAGTGCGTTGGTGACTGATGCTGTGACCTTTTTGGCCTCTTTTACATCGTTTTTCTGTCAACAAGCCGCTCATTGGGATCTATTCCCTCCCCCCGGGCTGAGAGCCTCTCTCGGTAGAAGAAACAACCTGAGCTCTTTCAGGTGTCGCCCATGTCCTGTGCTCGCACACTCGTTCCCGACTGGTCTAGACATTGTTCCACCGGGTCAAACAGCAAAAACCCGTTCCGCGTTTCACTGTGAAGAAAAGAAAATCGTAATCTGCACAAACGTACAGCGGGTTTATTCCATTTCGCTTCGAGATCTGGTTAATGTTGAAGAGATAAGGCAGTTAGGAGTTCTACCATTTTCCACCACAGCTTTCTTTCAGCAGCATTTTCCAGTCATTAGGATCCAAACCACACAACTCTTCTCCTCCCACTCTCAGTAACTAAAAAAAATCTCAATCACTGCACATGTGAAATACATAAAAGCACAAAAGCTTCTTTATCTGAGGAGCGTTCCAAATATAGCAAGAACTATAGAATCTGCACGTGGTTTTTCGCTTTCAGGCTCATACTGTCACTGAACGTCGATGAGTTTGAAAGACCGCTGCCAAATAACACTATGCTGGGATAACACACATTGCTTTGGGCAATCTACAGCATCTTTGCTGGAGATCGGTTTACCAACATAGAGCCACAACAAAAGCACATCAGTGTCTGATGTTCCAATCATGGAATTCATATAAACAATCCCTGGTTCGGAATCGAATGATTGGGACCAATTTGCAGAGTCCCAGCCTATTAACACCTGCACAGCACACGGCCTGGTGTTTACCCTGACTACTTCACAAGACCAAGTTAGGCTGGTACGCCCAACGACAACATTCGAAGTGCCACAGTTCCCTGATTCGAACTGTCATTTAAAGGAACATTACCTGTATTTAATATTTAAAAATAATTTGAACAGCGCCCATTTTCCGATTTGCCTGTTATTATCGACAGACTACTGGTCAGAGAAAACGTAGTTTAAATTAAGCGCTTTTCCTAAAGCTTCACCTGTCGGGTGACGTTAAAGACGATTTTCGGTTGTCTTTAACATTGCTATTGACAAAAAAAATCGGATTCTGCCTGTTATCCCTTAAACACCTTGATTCACGACTTTGCAGTTCGACTGGTTAGAAACTCGGAATTAATGATAACTGTAGGAAACAACTAAAAACACAGTGCAGCATGTTCATTTAGTTCGTCAGAATTCATGCAGGGAAGCGACAAATATCGAAAATAAAAGTTATGTTTCCTCAAGACAGTTTTGTTCAGCTTGGCAATTTTTGATTGCAGTCGAGTGAAAGACATGTAAAGGAGTCATCCTTTTACAACAAGTGTGAAGGAGTTATTATGGGATGCAGACTCAATCGCTTTGCATAAATTCAAATGTATTCGTGTGTTTTACCCTGCTTTGGGGAATAAAGAAGCAACGTTTTATCCCCACGAGAAACTTGCATTGGGGCCTCGGGCTTGATAAGCTCAGCAACGTAACTAAACACCTTGCTTACGAGTTTAACGCAATTTAGTCAAACCTCAGCAGAGCTCTTTATTAAAGTTAAAAACTACATTAAATTTTACAATAAAAAATTCTAAATGAGATGTCACAGGAGCCAACAAAATAGAGCCAGAAACTGAAGAGTAAAAAAACCGGATCCTACTGCAGGGAAATGAAATGCTGTGAGTGGTAACTCTTTTGATAACCTGAAATGTTTAATACATTTTTAACATTTATTATTTTGTTAACGATTGAACTGTACAATTGATTATATGGGAAAGGTTTTTTTTTCACATTTTAGACCGTGTAAAGATTCAGGTTCATGTAATCTAGGCCGATCTATTCAAATTCCTCCTTCAATTTCATTTGAGTAGCAACAAACCTTTTCTCAAAACAAGTGATTTTTTTTAGCCCTAAAATGTTTTTTTTCTCTGACAGGGAGGGTTACAGAGGGGATAGCCTCCCCTGGACTGAGGCACAGAGCTGAGAGACTCTTACATTCTGCCACAAACAGTTTTCTTGAAAAAGACAGAAGCCTTGCCGCTATGCCCTGCACTTCATAAATCACATCTTTATATAGACAAGGTCAGGGCACCTAACAGCTCAGACATAGGTCTTTGCAGAGTTTCTGCACACTAAGGCATGTTTATTCTCCAGCACAGATCTCTGAGGAGCAGTCCAGCACGCTTCTAATTACTTTTGATTATTTTCATTTGTTGGGGTCAGCGCTGCTTGCCAGTGTTACTGCAGGCCTGATTTACTACAAATTCCATGCCTTTGAGGGACTGAATGGTGTAGTTTTTAGAATTAGCACCGATTATTTTGCCTCGTTCTTATGCGATACTGTAAACAGGAAACTCGAACGGGGGATTGTCCTTCAGTGAGCCTATAGTGCTTCCTCTCTTCTCCGTTAATGAAGCAGAAAGCTTTATTATTTTAGACCGGAGACGCACTAATAGAACATTGTGTTGTGCAGCGACAGAACTCACTTCAAAACTCCAGAGAACAGCCTGCCCAGTGTCCGCACACTACAACCGGACAGATTTTTCATGTCATTAGCAACGCTTAGATTGTCAGGTCATCGTGTTTATATTTGCTGACGGTTTTCCAAGTTAACTTCCTTTCCCTTCGTAATCCAATGAATATTTAGCAGCTATCATTTAATTAACAAGCATTTTTAAATGGGAGGGGGATGGAAGAAGAAAGTGAGACAGCCACAACTGGACTTCCTACATTCACCATTTAAAACTTTATTGATGAAGGAAATTGTTGGGGAGTCGCCCACTTTCGGACTCAAATCATTGGAAAGTATCATTGCTCTCAAGTAGCTGGCTAAAACCGCGGGGATAGGTTTGGTTTTGCCTTTTCTCCAAATGGAATTGCTTGGAAGTTCCGCTTTGGAAATGTTGTCTGTGGCTCCTCTATCGCTTCGCATTGTTTGCGAGATTAGACATGAAGAAAATAATTATAACAGCCACCCGCCTGCACAGCCCCGCGGGCAATGCTTTTATACTTTCTCATCGAGTTCAGTGTCGTACAGCTCCCATCTGGTCTGGGCTCGGGGAGAGCAGATCTCATGGCCCTTGCCCGTTAGACTGTAGCCGTGTCTCCCTAATATCCAGGAGATGACCCCGCACGCAGGTTTGGGGGTCGGATAGTGACACTACCTCGGCTATCTCCCCGACCCCCGAGTGTTGGGAAGGGATCATCATTTCTTTGATTGCGGTGACATTGCAGCTACAATCTGCGGTCACAGAGAAAGTCCTCACATCAGAGCGGGACAGAGCTCATTGTGACTCTCAACAAGTTCAAAGCCTACTAAACCCTCCCGGATCTCCCTGTGCCCGGGAAACTCCCTTGGCTTTTTAAAGAATCACACATTCTTATTGTCCCGAGATCTGGATTTCTTCACCGTCTTAGTGTCCTTAGAACCTGCAGGTTCTTCCTTTGCAAATAACAGCGCAGTTCCCTCAGAAGTGCCTGGATTGGAGCTCAGTATCGCAGGCAGCACCTTCCAGATGCGAGCCACCGTCTGCACTCAGAGCCGCGTTCCATCTCATGTCTCCCTTTTGCCAATTGCCCGAGATCAGTGTCATCTTGTTCTCTACCCATTAGCTTTGCTGGGCTATTTACCGCTTATTTTAATATTAAATCTTATCGTCAAAAAATCTTTTCCCCCAAACCCAGGATTAAGATCAACAATTCATTCGACAATAAATACTGGCCTAGCCTGAAATGTTGGCGTCCCAGGGCGAATGAAAAAAAGGTTCAAACAGAAGGAATCTAAGGATTTGACTCTCCAACTCGAGAAAAGGTTTTGAAGATTACACCTAAAGATATAGTCCTCCTAGGAATTATATCCCAATATAATTAACGTAAATAGTTCAATACAAAGGCATCTCACTTTTACCGAGATAATTCAAGAATCTTTAATAAGAGTATTGTTACTTTCAGGCAATGTTAAAATATTGAAAAATGTGCAACTGAATATCCCATGATGGGATTCATTTTATAAATTTCACCACTTTTCTACCAATATGAAGTGGTATTTAGCTGTGAATTAATCTGGTAGAGACAGAGTACCGAAGGAGTCAGGTTTTGAATTAACAAACTGAATGGGAAGCCCAAACTTTCCCTTTTCAAGCAGCCACCTTGCACCATTTTGACCAGACCCCACTGCCACATACCTTCAGACTAGATGATTTGTTGGTGTTTATATGTCTTATGTTTCTACCTTTTTCCAACACATACACTCCTAACAACTGAGATTAGCCACCCAGGTAGGTCAGCGCTGATGGAACTTGCACAGAAGTCCTTTGTGACCAGCCTTCAGAAGCCAACAGCTGGAATAATAATTCCTATCTGTTGACTGTACATTATATTTTCATACAGTGGTGTTGGGCAGTATTAAAAATGATCTGAAACCTTGGGGTTCTGAATCAAATACAGTTGCAGTAATACATTTTCCTTCATCTGAGAAACAGCATTTTGAAGTCAGTTTTGGTATCGAGAACAGTTTTCAAATTGTTTTGGAAAAACAATTGTCTTCATTGGACTGTGAAATTATTGAGTATTATTAATTAAATTATTGAGTATTATTCATTAAATTGAGTGTGCAAACCTTAGAGGAAGATATGATGCATCATTTTTTTGGCATTATAAACATCAAAAAGAGAATTGCTACCAGAATAAATATTATCATGTTTACCATCCCAATTGTATTAGTCTGTTTCAACAAAAAAAACCTCACCTACAGCATAGGAAGCTTTAATAGATCTGTTCGTTCTTAAAAAGGTTTTAAGAACACAAAAAGCATGTCAGTTCAACTAAGTATATTGTTGAAACATTGATGGTATGAATTAGAAAGTGAGCCCTAGCCATATGGGTAACAAGAAAAAAAAAGTGCGCAGCATTTGATGTGTCTTTGATATCTTTTGACCCAAATTTTCACGAGGCAGGACATCAAACAGTGTTTGCTGTTAAATACACTTCATTTGCACATTTAGATTTTTGCATGACAAGAATGTGAAATGCAAACTGATGATGGCAAATGAGGGAAACAGATCATGGATCTTGAGGGGTGACAAGTAACTTTGCATTTCTTTCAGTAATCAAAATGACGGATAATAATATTTATAGCACAAGGATGAAGGAGGATGTATCAGTTATAATGGAGAAATTTGATGTCAAATCAGGCACAGAAGAATAACTAAGGAGAACAAAATAATAGTTGACTTGAGAGAAACAGAAAAGAAGTTTTCAAAATAAGTAAAACATTTACACCTAAAAATTTAAAATCTCCAAAACATTTAAAACCGGGAAGAGATAAAACTCTACAGTTGTAATAGTTAATTTTCAGAGAGGTGGTTTGGCAATAATTGACACCTATTATCTAGTTAAAACTGAATTCTCCATGGCAAATCTATTGTGCATCTGTCAACCCAAAGTAACCACTTCACATCCATCAATTTCAATGGTGAAGTATAGATAAACAAATTTATGAATTAGGAGCAGAAATAGGCCGTTTGGTGGTTCACATGCTCTGCAACTCAATAAAATCATGGATGACAACAAGGTGCAGGGCTGGATGAACACAGCAGGCCAAGCAGCATCATAGGAGCAGAGAGGCTGACGTTTCGGGCCTAGACCCTTCATCAGAAAAGGGGGAGGGGAAGGGGGTTTTTAAATAAATAGGGAGAGAGTGGGAGGCGGATAGAAGAGGGATAGAGGAGAGGATAGGTGGAGAGGAAACAAACAGGTCGAAGAGGCGGGGATGGAGCCAGTAAAGGTGAGTGCAGGTAGGGAGTTAGGAAGGGGATAGGTCAGTCCAGGGAGGACGGACAGGTCAAGGGGGCGGGATGAGGTTGGTC